GGGGCGAGAAAGATGAATACCTACAAGCAAATCAGAGAGCAGAGGCAAAGGGGCTATGCCAAATATTATTTGAATACTACAAGACAGATGATCATTGAATGAATGAAATGTCTTGTCAAATTGGGGGGTCACTTATCTGATTTCTATGTAATTTAAAGCTTAGAGTTGCTTTAAATTTGCTTGCAATGCTGAGTACACAGCGAACCAGCCATTTTGAGAAGGGTGCACTTCGTCCCAGAAGAATGCAGCTCCTGGATCTTCACATATGGTGTACTTCTTTTCCCCATTCGCACCCACATTCCCACATGCATACTCGCTGCTTATTCCAACACAACATGGCTTCAATGGGTTCTCAAATTTCACGTTCCCTGCACAAAACATGGTAAGCACTTAAAAAACACCCTATAAACTTTTAAAGGGAGGTGTGCTTGTGGGCTTCTTATGAAGGAGTGTCAAGTCAGTCAATTGACCCTTTTCTAGCTCGTGATGGAAGGCAAGAATCTTAATCTATACCATATTTTGAGACGAGACCTAAGAGGTACCAAGCATAGTTTACAGAGCGGAAACCTTTTGTAGGGATTACAACCAAAAGCCAGAATAATTAAGGAGCAGGAGTCACTTTGTCTAGCTTGTCAAGGGAACCCAGCTGTAGTCTCTAATATGCTAAACATCAACCTATTTCCAGAAGAACCAAGACTTAGTTTAGCAGATCTCGAACACAATCTTCTCATAAATGGAGAGCCAAATTAACTAAAAGAAGTCGCATTCTATGAGATCCCACATCGATTGAAGAGGGGAACGAAATATTCTTTATAAGAGTGTGGAAACCTCTCCCTATCAGACATGTTTTAAAAATTGTGAAGGGAAACCCAAAAGGGAAAGCACAAAGAGGACAAAATCATATAGTGGTGGGCTTGGGTTGTTACACATTTGTCCAATAGCAAACACGTACGATGTCATGATCTTGTTGTTCATTCATGTAAATCAGTCTTTTTATTTAAATATATATGAGTATCTAAACCAGCTGACATGCACCTTACTATTCTTAAAGAACACATGTCTAATCCTACTATACAGTTGCTGTCAAATAGGATATTAAATCATAAGCATGTGGCGCCCAAAGCCTGAATCCTTTGCAGGAGGACACAAGACTTATTGGGATGTCCTTTTTCTCTAACCCATTGATATTTGACCATTAGGCCGACTCATGAGGACAAATCCTGGTAAGATGGTAAATCAGGGGTGTTTTAGTTGAAGAATGTCAGCTCTCATGTGGGTTTCGAATAATCAATGGGACTAAACAATTTTTAAGGAGCATAAGAGAATTAGTGGACTAAAAAAAATCAAAAGATCAAAAGATCAAGAGAGTCACCAAGAGGGTCTCCTTTGTTGTTGAGAGCAGCCATGAAAGAGGAATACAGATCAAGAAGGATGAAAGTGGATGCAGAGGCATCTTTTACTTCACTGTTGAGCTTTGCCACAGATTGCTGCAATAGCAGATTGTGGAAGTTGACAAGCAGATTCTCAGTGGCATTACACTGATGGAATGAGGATGCCACTGTGCTGCTAGGAAGACAGCCCAGCGGCTCCAGAGACGTCACCACTATCTTTGGAACCCCCAGCCCATGGATGCGCCTCAAATTCACCTCCAGCTGGTTCACCACTTTCGTTATAAATGGCTGCCACCCCTGCCACCAACACGCCAAACTCAATACAAAATCCCCAAATTCTTTGCTTAACTTCTTATATTTTGACTAAAAAATCAATTCATAGAGTTGAAATTAAACGTTACAAATGTTGGGGAAAACCTGAGCAGAGCCGTCAGTGGCCTGGTAGACGCCATAATCGTTGCCGGCGAGGGAGATCAGCGCCACAGAGTAATGCAAATCTTGGGCGGTATACGTCGATTCGTGGATCAGCTGCTGGAGGAAGTCGATCTGAGTGCTCATGTTAGGGCTCATTATAAAGGTATTGAAAACGCCGGTACCGCCGTACGCGAAATTCATCCCGTATTTCAGTTGCCCTAACCCTACTTTCCGCCATTTGTACGCAATCGGAGACTTCACTCTCAGATACTTGGCTGCACACACAAGATTCAACCACCCAATGGCGCCGCGAAATGGAGCCAATTTTTATGATTCATTAAAAAATAAAAAAAATAAAAAAAATTATATTAACCATAAACTAATTAAAAAAAATAATGTGAAATTCCAATATATTTAAACTCAGTTCTTAATTAAACCCAATTTTAATTCCACCGACATTTTAATAACACAAGAAATAAAAAATTCTAGAATATACCTTAATTGGTCAAATTAAAATATATATTCTATAATTAAAAAATAAATAAAATCGAGAAAAAAAAAAGGGGAAAATGACAGGAAAAGATGCAGTGAAGTTGAAGATAAAGACTGACTGTCAGGGAAAAGGAAAAGGGTTACGCTAAACTGACATGCTCAAAAGTCACAGCCATCTCCATATCAATAAAGCAAAAATAAAAATAAAAATAAAATAAAATAAAAAAGCCGACTCTATAATGCAGCCGGTCTTGAGTTTTTACAGCCAAAAAGTGCCACGCTCTGACTGAAATTAAAAAATAAAAATAAAAAATAAAAAATAAACTTCCTTTTGCACTGATTTTTTAAATTTATTTCATTATTTTCCATTTAATTTTTAAAATATATTATTTATTTTGTGAAATTGTTTTATTTTTTTATTATTTACTTTATTAAATTTATAAATCACTAATAATTTTTGAAAAAAAAATAGAATTTAGATAAGAGTTTAAATGTTTCAATAATAAATAGATAAGATATGGTATAATTTTATAATTTTTGAAATACATAAAATTTTAAAAAAATTATTACCACGAGGTTTTTTTTTTAATTTTTATTAAAGGAAAAAATGTGCTATTTAAAGTGTTTAATAATAAATTATTTTGAAAGGAAAAAAGAAAAAAGAAAAAAGAATACAATAGCAATGTGGAGTGGGCCACCACCTCTATTTATATCCATAAAACTAAAGAAAATTTATCTTTATTATTTGCTTTTTAAATAATTTTAAATATTATTTTTATTTTGTGTTTAGAATTTCCTTTAATCATACAATTTTAATTCTTTTTGTTTTTAAATATAAAGAGCCTTCTTCACTACTTTAGTCCTTTTTTCATTGTGATTTTTTCTTTCTTTTGCTAAAATTTTAAAATTAGTTAATAAAAAACTAAATAAATTATTAATCTAGCTCAATAAATGATTTTTTAAAAACAATATAATTTTAAAAATAACATAATTTCATAATTATCCAAATTAAACGAATCTTAAATAAATTCAAAACAATTAATAATTCAAAATACACGCGCAAAAAAAAAAAAAAAAAAAAAAAAAAAAAGACAAACAGAGAAAGAGACGGTTAGATTTTCAGAGTTACCTAGGTAATCGGTCAAAACACGGCCATCGGAGAAACGGCCGGTGGGTTTACCGGGAAAAGTAATTCCATAAGGATACTGCCAAGATTTTGCCGCCGGTTTCCGGTTATTTCCGGTGTCTACATAAGAATCCCCAAACACAAACAGCTTTCTAGGATTCGAATCCGACAGCTCCCCTCCACCAAGACTCTGTCCACTCCGCCGCACGCGGTGGCGATGACGGTGGCCACCCCCTCCAACAGAAACCCAAACCACCCCATATAATTCTGCAACCCAAAAACAAATTTTAAAAAAATATATATTTTAGAGAGAGAAAGGAAGGGGAAGAGGGGGTTTTAGAGAGAGAAAATGGAGAACCTGGGAGGAGAGAGAAGCAGAGGAGAGAGAAACAGAGGAGCTTTTTGCAGTCCATTAAAGGAGCTTAGAATTGGAATTGGAATTGGAATCTCTTTGAAGTTGTGTTGTCTCTTTACCCAAATGTTCCAAATGAAACTGTACTCACTCTCTTTAATAGCTTATATAGTAATCTCCCAATGATAAAATCACCTGCCCTTCACCATTCTTACGTCAACCGCTCCATTTTCTGCTAGTTTTTTACGCGACGTTTAAAACATCGCGCTTCGAAGTTGTGGCGTCTAAGGCTTCTTTGGGTCGGCCATTGTTCTTAACCTATATATATATATATATATATTTATATTTATAAAATATTTTTTTTTTATAAATATATTTTAAACATATGAGCCAGCTATTTAAGTTTAAAAAAGAAAAATAATGTTTAATAAATTTGTTAATATTTAAAAATATGTAATATATTTAATGTGTAAAATAAAAGGGTTTAATGGAAACGGAATCCGAATATATTTAATTTATATTTACATAAAAAAAAGTCACTTAGTATAAAGTTTGTGAGAATATTATATTAGAAATGTACACAAAGGAATCTAAATTTAAATTATGAGAAAATACATCAATTGCTTACCATTTAAGTTAGGGGATGTTATGATAAATAATTAAATAAATTAAAACATATTTTAAAAAAATATAATATAAAGGATGAACGGGCTAAAAATGTAATTGTGAGTAGGCCCATGGAGATGGGCCCATTTTGGGCTAAAATAATTGGGGGTGGCCCAATACTCAAGCCCAATATTTCCCGCCCGTAGGAGGGAGGGAATAGACGGCGGCGTTTGATTGGTGCTCTGGAATTCGAATTTCGACGGCCGAGTTCAATGTCTGGTTTCGTCTCCTTCAGTGCAATGCAGGTTGAATCCTAGGGCTTTCTCCCGATCAAGTTTGTCAATTGGAAAAAAACTGTAAGCGATTTTCTTTGATCTCGATCTTCTGAAATTTGAGCTCAAGAATTTTTCTCTTCATTGCGTATCGAATCTCATGTGATTTCGTTTGTTCATGCGAATTGGAATCTGCAGATTCTAGTTTAAGATTAATGGATGTTTTGTAAAATGAACAGCAGAAGAAAATTATGGATCAGAATTTTATGTTTCGAATCTGGAGGTTTCATGTTTGTCTATTAGGGACCTTTGTGGCATGTTCTCGGAAGGTCAGACAAGAAGAGACGGAGTTTTGTGCTCATATTTCATGGTTTAGAGTTCTCAAATTTCCAACGTATTGGACTTATTCATTGCATGCTTTAAAGATAGAGTTTGGATGTTTACTTTCTTTTGTGGAAGTTCTTCTAGTTGCTAGTGCGTCCATTTCTTTATTTAACTATTAAGTATTAACATGGTTCAAGATAACACAAATTCAAGTTATTAGGTCCTCTTGTTCTTCACTGAATAAAACTTAAAATAGGTTAGCTGTGTGCATTTGCTACATGGTTGATACTCGATTGTTTTTCAACTTTCAAGAGTTGAATGTTTGCAGTCAATTCAGTAGATTCATCTTTATTCTGTTAGGCAGGAGTTTAGTAAATTAGCCAATTTTCATCAAACAGAAAACAACATATAGTTCTTTGATCTGAGGTCACTTTTTCTGAATAGCTTAATGGGAAATACTTATGATTGTTTTGTTTTTATATCTGTGAGTGTTTGAGTCAGTTTGCGCACACCTCGACTTTAATATTCTTTGGTTCCTTCTTGTGCTTTAGTCTTGTTTAAGCTTTTTGAAATAGGAATGCTACAATTTATCTTTTTTGATTTATGTTGTTTTGCACATCGTTAGGAAATAATGTTCATGACTCCATATTTCAATCATAATCGATATGAGGCAGCAGCAATAACTCATTTTCTATTCATTAACATGTTTAATGATGTGAAGAATATTGTTCATTTTGTTGTTGAAAAAGTTGCATGTAGCCAAAAATATCAAGACTAGTCTACTGGATTTGTATAGTATCTTCTTTAGCATTGTATTTGGTAACTAGATAATTAGCTCTGATATTATGCACTCGCACCCCCTTGTCCCTCTTCACTTTGTATTATACGTACATTCAAGTATGTCTTGCATTTGATTTCATAGGACAATGGTGAGTGATTATGGCTTTAAAAGAAGAATCACAGCTGAAATTCCTGACATATGCAGTTGAGAAAGCTGTAATCACAGATCATCTAGTTGACAACATTGCGGCCCCCATTCACAAGCCAAATGAGACTCCCATTGTCGCCAGGTTGAATCTTGTTCATAAACACAATTATTTTCACTTTGCTTTTCAATATGCCACTGATCAATAGCTTGCAATTATATATCCATGGCAAATCATTGATATCCTCCTTGCCACTTTTTTATGCCTCCTAAAATATAAGCAATATCATATTGGATTCATAAGGATGTCTGTTCAGTATACTAATGTCATTTTCTTTATTTTTGAAACTGTGGCTCTGATGTTAACTACTTTCCTATTAAATTCTTTGAGTAATTGTGGCCACCTATTAAATGAATGTGAACAAAGAATGGTGGCCCCTCATTTGTACTGGATAAAGAAATCTATTGGCCTTAATAATCACTGGATAAAGTAAATGCCTTTTGCTTTTCCCTTATCATACATCTTTTGTAAAGCTCTCTATATAATAGCATGATCTTATGAGGAGACTTTCCTTCCCCTTAATATTATGATCTTAGGTAGTCTGCTTATAGTGTTGATGCTGACTAAAAGCTTACTGGTTAGAAATGGGTGTATTAAATTAATAGATATTATGTTATAGAGTCATGACCAGATAAAATAAGAGATGAAGAAGGTTGAGTCACTGAAGATGATCCCATTATGGTGTCATTTAGCCTCTAATGGACGGAATGTTGGATCATTATTTAGGCTTTAGAAAATGCCGAGGATCCAATTTGTTAAACAAGAGTCATTATTGATTCTCCTTTTGTGAGATCCCACGTCAACTGGAGAGAGGAACGGAGCATTCCTTACAGGGTGTGGAAACCTCTTCCTAACAAACGTGTTTCAAAACTTTGAGGAGAAGTCTAGAAGGAAAAGCCCAAAGAGGACAATATTTACTAGTGATAGACTTGGGAGGTAGGTTGGAGAGGGGAATGAAGCATTCCTTACAAGGGTGTGGTAACCTCTCAAGGACAATATCTGCTGGTGGCCAAAAAAGGATGATATGGATGTGAGAAAATCAAGTAGAGGTATCTTGATTGCTGATTAGCCGGAATATTGAGAGGAACTCTTTCTCCTAATAGATCTTTTCAGTAAAAGAAGTTGGATTTATTCTTTGGTAATCAGTATAAACAATCTATGGTGCCTGTTTAATATTTGCAAAATCTAAACAGGATTATTAAAGCACCAAAAAAGTGAACCCAGCAATGGGCTGAAGTAATTGATAAAAAGGCTATAAAGCAAAAGAAAAAGGGTCTGAATTTGACTTCTATCTCTTCGTTATGCCCCCACCTTGATCTCATCTAGATGACACTTGCAAACTTCCTTGCTTGTCCCATCCCCTTGCTCTGGTTGGTGTATTAGGATAAACAATAGAAAAGATATTTGATAAATTTAAGAAACTTAGAATTGTTCTAATGTCTTTGGATTATAATATCTGGAATTTGTATAAGTATAACTTATATGGAAGAACGTGTGGAGATGAAATTCGAACCTTTGTTGATGGTACATTCTTAACCAGTTGAGCTACACTTGAGTTGATATAACTTGATTTGATTTATAGGGTTATGATTTCTAGAGAGGAAGAGTACTAACACTATGAGCCGGCCTAGTTGTGGTTAACGGGGCCAATGAAAAACAAAGTATAGAAGGAATGAGTTCGGCCACCTACCAAGAATTTGAAGTCCTACGAAACTTATTTGACAACCAAATGTAGCACGTCTAGATAGTTGTTTAGTGTGATTAGTGGGCTTGGCAAAGCTAGAATTGACTTCTTAGCGATCTAGAGTTAGAATGATGATTATATGAGAAAGTGGTGTTTGGCTGTTGTCAAGTTTTGTTTAGATTGGTGATGGATCATAATCACAAATTAGATTATGGGAAGCAAATGGGAATTAGCTGCTTGATTCTTTTAAACCGAAAAACTTAGTGGACTGGACATCCTAAAAGTTGTCTAACCTCCTAGAAAGGAAACTCCACCTGATCTTGAGAGGCACTTTATCTTCGCTTGGGATTGAGTTTGAATCGTATGGGGTTTTATTATTATTTTTTTTTAAAAAAAAAAATCCCATAAATTTCCAAATATTGCATTTTTACCCTTCACAGTTTCCAGTCTCTATTTCAAGATTTCACATTTTTATTAACTGATTAATTTTTTTTTATTAATTTGTTTGTTTGTTTTTTTTTTTTTTTTTTTTTTTTTTTTTTTTTGCTCGCATTTTTTTTAATAGGTTTAAACATTTGTAGATTTTTTTTAAAAAAAATCATAAACCAACCAACACAAGCTTAAAAGTCAAAAGAGAGTAAATTTGTAATTTAATTTTAAATTCAATAAAAATTATAAAATCATATACAAGCCGGGAGAGCTAGTGATATGCACCTGAATATCAATCATACAAGATAAAATTTAAGGAAGATGTGAAGAAAACGTTCAAATTATCACAAGATGCTGCAATCCATGTCACATTAAAAAAAAAAAATCAAGCTCCATTCATTATTGGATGACTATAAGTTCTGGGTTTATGATAATTTAGGGTTATGGTGTTTCTACCATGTATTTTAAGACTTATTTACATAGTGACTAATTAGAGTCATAAAGTATGAAAGTTTCAACTTTTGGAATGGCTCATAGAAGGTTAATAGTTTTCATTTTGAGATTCTATAAAGTCATGTACGTTATCTCAATATAAGAGACTTGGACAATGTAGTGAATGGAGCATTTGTGCTTTCTTTTTAACTCATGTCTAAGCTTCTTTATAATTTTATGTAGTTTAAGTTGCATGGAGAATCATTCAAGCTTAACATGATCAATCTTTACTTGTTGAGTGATTTGAATCTTAAACAAGTGTTCTTACTTTAAGATATTCGATCAATAAGATAATTCGAGTGTTATTTTTCCTTGAGTTGATTCCATATCATATAACAATATATTTTTTTATTATTTTGGTGCTAAATTTGACCCATTAAACTAATAAATTAAATCCAATCATTGCCACTAAAATTGAAAAAGAATTTTCGTAGCAAAACATGTTTATTATTATTTATTATTTATTTTGGAATTTAGGCCTATTTCCATAATTGTTCCGTGTTTACTTTTATTTTTTTAAAAATTATGTATATATTTTACATTCTTATATTACATTTGCACTCCTAATCAAATTTCAACAATACCTTTTTTAGACTTTAAAAATTGGTTTGAATTTTGAAAAATACATTTAAGAATAAATAACAAAAACAAATAATTAGTATTTATAAATTTAATTCTTGAAATTCTAAAAATAAAATACTTCAAAAAAAAAAACGAAAGAAATGTGGTACGTGTGGAAGTTTAAGAAATCTATAATTAAAATATCCACACGTGTGGTCCAAAAAAAAAAAAGAAAAAGAAAAGGGGAACTCACGTGTAGGGTTCAATGCACTTACTAACCCGTAATAATTTAAAAAAAATAATCATTAGCCATGCAGCACTTTGTTATTATTATTATTATTATTATTATTATTATTATTATTATTATTATTATTATTATGTGAAATCATTATAAATGACCTCAGAAAAAGGCCCCCTCTCTATTTTCCATTCCCTTTTTTGCCCTTCCCTTACCCTTTTCATCTCCTTTTTCCCCTGTGGGCCATTTCAGTAATTTCATCCCCTTTTAATTTTAACCCTAAATAATTATAGTGAGGCCCTCCCTTTATAGCCCAAGCAAACTAATTACCCTAATGTTCTAGTTATTTATATATTGACATTATATTATCTTGATTAAGTATACTATAAAATTTATTATTGTAACCTTTTTTCCATTTAATAATAACGTAGAAATGAAAATAAAATAATCAATTTTTTAGGTGATAATAAGAATTTCATTTACTTGGCTTCAGACCGTTGTGGTTTTGCTCTTTGTTTTTTCTTCGTGTTTGTCTATTACGATGACGTGGTTTGAGAAGATATGGAGAGTAATTAAATTTTTTCATGTTTCGATCTTTCAAGTTCAGTTAAGTTGTTTTTAAGCCACAACTAAATGGGTGGATGGTTAGAAGACTAAATTTATAATTTAACGTTGTTTTAGACCAGAATTGTGAATATTAAAACTAGAGGGGTTGATTTGAAAAGAAAAGGCAAGTTGTGGGTGTATTTAAGAGGGGGATAGATAAGGTAAGGAATCACAAGTCCCTTTATTATTTTTAGGGCATGTCATGATTGGTCTGTCGCAGACCCAATTTATAACCCTTTTTATTCATTTCGGCTGTTAGCCCCCATATTTACTTCTATTTACAGACCTTCCCCATTTCTTTCTTTGCAGCCATATCCTTAGGTTTCATGAAATTTAGCTTTTGAAGACATGGGTTTTAAAACATTCAATTTTGACCCCTAAAAAATCTAAAAAATTTACCAATTTCCCAATACAGCTTTGTTTTGAATGGTTTTGTTGATTTTTCAATCAAATATTTGCTAAATATCAAATAATTCAACCAAATATTATTAATTATTTTAATAATTTAAATTGTGACGGTTAACGTTTAGAAATATATTCAAACCGTTAAATTAAATGAATTCTCTCTAAATAAGCTTTTTTTTCATCTATTTAGAAGAAAAAAAAATTAAAATTTATGATATAAGAATAATAAAAATAAATATAAAAAAAAAACTAAAAAATACCTTCAAAATAGTTGTTAATATTCAATTTATAAATAAGCATGTGAATAATATTATGATTTTAACCAATGATTAAAAAATATATAATTAACCGACAAAATATTATGATTTTCAAACTTGTCATCTTCTAAGTCAAGTTTCTAAATAAATGCAATTTTTTTAAAATTTATTATAATTTAAGCCATGTTTTTTCGAATAATTACGGGGTGTGCCATTTAGGATTGAAAAAGATTCTTTTAAATTTGGTTTAATAATTTTTTATGATTAAATCATATAATTCTTTAATTTATTCATTACTCTCTTGAAAATTCATAATTAAAAATTTCAAAATAATTATGATGGGGTTCTCAAATTTTCTAGTAATTTTAGAAATAAAAATGTTTTTAACAAATGTTTTGACTAAAAACATAAAAAAGAAAATAAATTAATTTATATAATCGTAAAGTTTCTCTTTTTGACTTATATTACCCGTGTCAATCATTAAATAAGAAACTTTCTTGTGTTCGAAAAATGTTGTATGGCTTCTTTTTGTCGGGCATAATAAAACCCGAGAATAATAAGAGTAATG